TATTCTGTGTATATTGAATGGCAATCCCTGTGCTAACTGTGCCTTTGGATCAGATAAACACATAAACCCTATAGTCTTAGTTGCGGTTTTAGATGGAGTGCGGAGAGAGTGAGTGGCAATCCATTGCCGCAAACATACTATTAGTTAACTCACAAAAAGTACTGCTCTTTTCTCTCATTCTCTATCTGTTTCACTAAACGAGAAAAAAGTTTTTACTCTTTTCCCTAAACTTACAGTACTTTGCGATAACATTCAAAGATAGAGTGCGAACTGTTAGGCCTTTTCGCTTATATAACACAATATAATCCATAGTCTTCTTCGTAGTCCTCATTAGACTCTTAAGACTTGTGTTGAGATCAAACTTTGCCTAATTCTAGCCATTCTTCTCTCATTCTGGTTCTGATCTTAATTTTTAATTCAAGGCCACAACTATTTTAAAGCAAAACTTTTCTCCCGTTAAACAGTTATTACTCTTTTGACGAAAACTGTTGTCAAACATTGCGGTGAGAGCTCTGAAGACAGACATAATATGTGAAAACAATTGACTGAACCGTTGGCTTCAGTTCTAAACATAATCTGCCGAAAGAGAGGAACAAATCAGTGAAGTCATAGCAAATAAGGCTATAGCCTAACAACTGGTCCTCAAGTGTTGTGTACATTGAAAGCACATCTCTGTCACAGTGTTGAGTGTCATCCACCCATCGCTGGCTGTCATGGACTCCGAGGCCGGCCCTATGTCTACGGAGGACTACGTTCACGACCTCTCGAGCCTAGATCTCGAACACTTGGAGGAAGTGGTCAAACAAGAGAGCGCTAAGATAGCGGCCGCCAGTGCTGTCAACCATAATAACTGCCGCCAATTGGCCGACAATTCCATTAATTCGTCCCAAAACTGCCCAAACGATCAACAATTAAGACTCGTTCACAACGTGATGGCCAACGGAGGGCTTCCCGACCACCGGAAACAACAGATCGCTTTGGCCGCCAACACTCCCGGCACTCCACCCAACACAGGCTCGCCGTCGGGTAACGGCAACTCATTGTCACCGTCGCCGGCCTTCGCGGGCAATATGACCAGTCCTGTGATGGCACAGACGGCCATCGATACGTGCAATAAACATAACGGTCTCATCGATGATAACAATAGCATGAATATGTCGTGGCTTACGGCACAACTCAGATACGGAGCCAATGGTGGGCCAGTGATGGGCAGTCAAGAGGGACCGCTTGACCTCAGGGGTCAATGCGGCCAAGAGATAGACAACCCGTGGCTCTCGCCTAACATAAGGCGTGATTACGGAGAGATGCAAACCAATCACAACAACCCTCACGTGAATTCAGTGTCGCCCGTAATGCACAGTCGACTCATGCAGACAATGGTTAACCCAAATCTAGTGAATAACTCAATAGACATGCATCAGAGCCAACAACACCCCCAACAGCACAGCCATCACAACAACGGCAACAATCAGTTACATAACGGACACTCGCATCACAACAATTCGCAACTTCACCACTCATTTCATAGCCACGGCCTGAGCGGCCACAACAGCAACGACTCGAGTATAGTGTACGTGAATGGCGGCGGCGGAGGGAAGTCGGGCGACAACCTCAACGACGAGCAACTCATTAATTTGACGGTAAGAGAGCTGAACAAAAAACTTCACGGCTTTCCGCGCGAAGATGTGGTCAAAATGAAACAAAAGCGACGGACGCTTAAGAATCGGGGTTACGCTCAGAACTGTCGCACCAAACGGTTGGCCCAAAGGCACGAATTGGAGGCCAAACTCCGGTTACAGCAAAACGAATTGGGAAGGAATCGATACGAGTGCGACAAAATGCGGGTCGAATTGGACAAACTTAGACTCAATTTCGACAAACTTAGACAGGCCTACGACAAAGTGTGTCAGGAGAGGGACTTCTATCGCCAACAGCTCTCACGACAGACAGCGCAGACGGGCTCGAGTCAGCAAATGGCTCCCAACACACAGCAGGTCACCAACAATACGACCACCGCTCAGATCAACGCTCGCCATAACACCCGACACCCCGACGGCTCTCTGTCCAGTGTGTCGGCCAGTAGTACCCCCTCATCGCCCGAGTTTTACTTGTGACTGACGACCCCTTCACCTAATGTCGTATACTAGCGATTAGCCACTAATCTCTCGCTCCCTCTAAAACAGTTGTCGATTATCTTCACAGCCATTCAAACAAAGTCCTACTATTGAGTAGCCTTTTGTCGGACGCTTTCCTTATCGTTATTTGTTTTTTCGAAATACAAATGTTTTGTTTCCTTATAATTCATACAAAATATAACTCATTAAATAAGTCTATAAACAATGTTTAGGCCAAAGATTTTGAAAGCCCTTCTTTGATGTGAAAATATCGATATAATAGAGAAAAACACAAATAAATTATCCATAAACTAAATGTGAGTCAAAAAACAATTTATATACAGTAATAATAACTAATTTTATTGAATGTAAAACTTATTTTCTCTTTCATAAGTCTCTCTCATAACGTCTCTATCATTATTGCTATAATATAATAGTCTTTTACAATACAAATATAAATTCACTTTTATTCTAAACTTTAATTAATACAAAATTGTTTTCTTCTCTGATTTTCTCTTTTGTTAATTAACTTATTTTTAATTATATATTTAATTTAAAATCCTTTTTATCCACTATTTTAAAAACAAATATTTAAAACTATATATAATAAACAAAACAAAAAAATATGTTTAGATTTTAAAAAGAAAAAACAATCTGGTAAAGAATCGAGTCATTGATCGATGTTTTGGTGATATTTTAAAATAATTTCTAGTTATTTGTCGAGTTCTGGGTTTATATTAAAAAACTAATAATAATAATATAAAATCAAACTATAAGTTACTGTTTATCCACAAAAACACCAAATATTGCTGTAATAATTGATGACAATTGAGTCAAAACATAAATATTCTGTTATTATTGGTTTGTTGTTAAATAATTTTTATGTATTATATAAAGAATATTAAGGGAATTAAAACTGCAATACAAACTGTTTTAAATGACTATTTCTTTTTTGTTAAATAATTATTTCCAACACAATTTGTCCGTAGATTGTTGTGAATATGCATTTGCCATAAACTACATTAACTAATGACTATTAAATATTGCTAACCTACTTAACTTAAGCTAAATCCACTTTTGATCGTGATAATTTTTACTAATTTACATGCAATATCACTATTATAAGTTTTGGTTACAATAATTTCTGTGTATTTATTTAAATTATATAAAAGACTGGATTAGATCTAAATTGTTTTGTATCTAAATCTAACACCTATATTTACTCTATGATGGGTTATTCTATTGAATCAATTCTGCAATCTATAAGACAATTAGTGCCCATTTATAGGATGTGAGACGAAGAGCTCCGTTGAAATATTCTGATAACAAGTCATTTATTACTTCCAACCAAACAACACAAAAAATACTTTAGTATTTGTTTGCATTTTGTCGGCAAACAAATTGATTGAAAAGCAAACTATTTTTAATACATTTTAAACTCTTTTTTGCATTAATTATCAGTCGAAATGTCTGTTTGACGGCTAATACAAGTCAAGAGTAAAGTTATATTTAATATTATTAATAGACTCATAGATACACTATTGAAGAAACAGGGATTGAAATATAAAATGGTGTGAATATTTAATGGTTTAATTTGGACTTATATTAAATAAAATGAATTATTATTGATATTCGTTCTAAAAGATCATATAATAAACAAAATGCCCAAAAGTCTGAGTTTGAAATCAATGGTTTCCAAATAAACGATGATTTACTGATATGTCGGTCAAAAGTATGGATAATTTGATACGATATTCAAATGGGAGCTTATCTTCGGAGACAAACTGAGTGTATAAATAGTCTAATACTTTGAGTCCAGAGCTCTAGTAGACAGACGGTTATTGGGGAAAACATCTGCAGTATGTCTAACGATATATATTTTTATACGCTTTTCCGCTTCATGTCTAACCCTTTTATGTCATAAAATACCTTAATTTTAATAAAATGTTTCTTTTGTTAGTGGAAAAAATGAAAACCAAAATCAAAAACTCCAATAATAGCTCATAGGAAACAATGAAAGAGAGAATTGAATGCAAATAAGAAATCTATTTATAAAAATATTTGAATTGCATTCAAAATGTGTTGCTTTATATTCTGGACCTCAAAACACACAAAACAATTTACTTCTGTCTTAAAGTAATTTTACAACAATTTTTCTTTCTTTCTTCTGTAAATGTCTTCTCGGATTTAATGAGAATTTTAGACTAATTGCTGAACACTTGGTGTCAATTATGAGCTATGAATACCATTATAAACATATTGTATTTCAATTTAAATATGAAAAAGAAATTATTATTTGGTCAATACTATAGGAATCATTATATAACGTAAAACCATAAATAA